GAGCAAGGTTTTGTACGATTGTGTTTTTAGGATCTCGTAACTGTAAACTCTGTAGGACAGATAGAGAGTCTGAACAAATAATTGCCTTTTTAATGCGGTGTTCATCGATATGGTCGAGGGCCAAACCAATGGCGCATGCTTCAGCAGAAAAGATGGAGGCGCCGTCTGGTAGTCGGACTGAAGTGCAAGTATTGGCAGTACAGCAGGCTGCTGCCACTTTCTCACCTTCTTTGGAGCCATCGGTGTAAAGTTGTGTATGAGAAGGGTAATTCGAAATGCATTCCCGAAAGGAGGATTTGTGTTCTTCGGGCATAACACTTGATTTCCCTCGCTCATGTAATGTAAAGTTAAAATCGGGGGTTTGAATGGTCCACGGAGGAACATCAGATATGTTAAATTCAGCTATGTCCGTCAATTTTATGTTGAGTTCTTGCAGGAAATTCAAAATTCGGATACCAAATGTTGGCAGAAGTTTTTGGTTTTGCGTAAATATGTTTTGGTATTTGGGGTTGAATACTTGGTTGAAAGCAGGATTTTTAGGGTTTGATTTTAATTGAGTTGCAAATTGTAATGAAAGTTTTATTCTTCTGTCATAAAGGGATGGTTCATTTGCTTCCACGTACAGGCTTTTTACAGGTGTTGTTCGAAAAGCTCCCAGGGCAAGACGTAGCCCTTGGTTATGGATTGGATCTAGCATCTGAAGGTACGAACTGCGCGCTGACCCGTATACCATAGAACCATAATCCAGTTTTGTTCGAATAAGTGATCTGTATAGGCGCAAAAGCATTTCACGATCCGCTCCCCAATCAGTATGAGAAAGGACTCGTATAATGTTTAACGCCTTGGAACACTTATCCTTCAGATACTTTATATGTGGTATGAAAGAGAGTTTCGAATCAAAAATGAGGCCGAGAAATTTAGTCTGTTCAACAACAGGAATTCTAGTGCCATCGAGTGTTAGATTTGGGTCATTGTGTGCTTTTCGTTTTTGACAGAAATGCATGCACACAGTTTTGGATTTAGAGAATTTGAAGCCGTTTTCGTCTGCCCAATTTTGTAGTTTGTTTAAACTCTGTTGAAGTTGTCGTTCTATCGTGTGCATGTTCTTAGATCTGTAACAGATCAAGAAGTCATCCACAAATAACGACCCTTCTGTTGATTGACCAAGACATTTGACTATATCATTGATTTTAAGACCAAACAGTGTGACTGATAGGATTCCACCCTGTGGGACTCCCATTTCCTGTTTAGACGTTTCGGAAAAGGTTGAACCAACGCGGATTTTGAAGTGTCTATCTGATAGGTAATTGGATATAAAATTGGGAAGGTTTCCACGTACGCCAAGGTCGTGAAGATCTTTCATGATGCCATACTGCCATGTAGTATCATAGGCCTTCTCCAGATCAAAGAACACGGCGACAAGGTGTTCTTTCTTGGCAAAAGCCTCTCGAATGAACGTCTCTAATCTGATGAGATGGTCATTTGTCCCTCTTCTATTTCCAAAGCCACTTTGAAGAGGGGATATTATATCGTTGGCATCAAGAAACCAAACCAGTCTAGTGTTTATCATTCGTTCTAAAGTTTTACATACACAACTAGTCAGAGAGATAGGACGATAGTTGTTTGGGTCAGTAGCATCCTTTCCCGGTTTTGGGATAGGTATAATTGTGGAGTGAGAACGACAAACCATGTGATAGCTCCTGGTGACATGTACCTGACACATACAATGTATATTATTAGTTATATATACCACCATGTACAAGCAAGCTGTGAAATGGAGTCCCATGTGTACATGATCAAAAGTAATTTGTATTCATAAACAAACAATAAATTGTTTTAAATGTTGTTGTTTTTTATGTCGATGAGACAATTTCCATATCATAATTTTCATTTTTGATACAATTAAAGGGAGGTAATTGTAAGTGTGTAAATATTATCCAGAGCTGCAAAATTTTACCGATTTCTTTCTAGGAAAGCAACTCTTATCAGCATCAAAAAGATTGTTAAACAATAAATAAATGAATAATAAAGCCATTGACTGTGTATATTTGTTCAATTTTTCACCGTTTTGTTAGGAACCTATGTGTCCTGTTTGTTTATAAGCTTTTTAACTTGTAGATAATCAATTAAATTACCCATACAATTTAGATAAAAAAAACACTTTATGTATTGTGATTTATATATTTGGTGATGAATAAAATATTTGAAGGGTGCATTAGCAAAGCTTCTTTTCATGTTTCATTGTTGTTATAGTTCCAGACAATGTCACACACCCAAAAAATGTAAAATATCAAAATTGGCAAAAAATCTATTTTTTGTATTTCCCCCCCCCCAAAAAAAAATCTCCAATCTATCAGAATGCTTAGATTTTCATAAAATCACCTCTACATAGTTGCATAACTATTATGTGAAAGTTTCAACAGATTTTGCTGGTTAATTGCGAACGGGTGGAAGCTCCTTAAGACTTTACATACATTTATACCAGGTAAATTTAGTGTTAATTGTTCCGATTAATCAATTTAGTCGACGTCTGGTTGTTTGTTTCTCAAAATCGATTAATCGATCCTTGTTTTCCATGATCGATTATAGTTTGACTAGTTTAAGTATTAACATAAAATAAACTCCGATAGTTACTGTTATTACCACCAACAGCGAGTTGTTCGTTCTTGAACAACTTGACCTAAAATCCAACACAATAGGCCTATGGCAAACCAGGACATTCCAGAGAATAAACTCTATGATCATCAGGGGGCTACTGATTTAAACATTTGGAAGGTATTGTTCCTCCATAGCTGGATACAAATAAAACGCTTTGTCAAAAGTGTGGGCTATCTTACAAATAAAAGGTTAAGTTTGACGGGGTATCATCAGGTGAATGCTGCCAATCCATCGCAGCATTTCTGAATACGAGATGCAGCTGTCACAGCATAATGGACATCGAAACATCATCAATTTCATTTCCAAATACATATTTTTCAATAATTATAAGGTTCTGTCAACAAACGTATTGTTTTTGTATGAATGTTGTACGTTATTAGCGAAATTCTCTAACGTCGTGTTTCCCCCGAAAATGAAAGTGAAAGTAGATTTCGGAAAGCGAATATAACCTTAAATTACTGAATTTAAGTTCAATTTGATCGATCATTAGTCGATCATCAGTCACTTGATTGGAAGTGATGATCGAGTATGAACTTACAAGTGATTCCCAACACTAGGTAAATTACAGATTAAGAGTTTGAAGGGAGGTAACTTTTACAACTCAGGTCTTGTTTTTCATTTAGATAACAGACACGCAACAACAGCCTGGAAAATTGTACAATGTATTTCTTTAAAATTATTATTAATTTACTTTTTTTAAACGATTATTAATTGACCAGCAGACGATGAGTTAGCTAGGAGTAAATGTGATGATCGGTCATAAAATTTCAACCAGCTCCGAACAGGAACAAACAGATAACAACGTCACACCAGGTGAGCTGGACCGAGCAAAATGTTGTAAATGTTTTTGTTGATGTTAATTTAAGTCTCTTACCCTTGCTTTCTTTCTGCAACGCCATTTTGGTGATTCACCTTCTGGAATCTCATCCTGTACAGAAATGAAAATCAAACTTAAACTTGCCTATTTCTAAACACTTCCTTCAGGTTGGTTAGTATGGATTATGAACAGTTTTTTACACAACCAATACAAATTTCTATGTGATGTTTCGATGACTAGTACGATATGTACACTGTCAACTTCATCAGACAATTTTGAAAATATAAAAATAAAAATCATAATCCATACTTGTCTGATGAAGGTGACAGGGTACATATTGTTCTATAGTCATCGAAACTTCACATAGAAAATTTTATTGGTTCTGTCATAATAATTATATTTGCATCCTTTTTATTCTTAACTCTTTTGTTTTACTTTTCACTTTTTCCCCTGCACCAGCATACAATCAACATTTTATGACTCAGAGCATCAGCCCGATTAAAGGCTCAGTTGGCCTTTAGTGTAAATCAAAGACTTACTTTGGTTAAAATCCATTTACCAAGTGTTACTAAATCCACTAAAAATGATAAGTCTTTCAGAGATTTATCTCTAATTCTTTACCCAAGAAGCTCAGCCACAAACTTTGTTTATATACAACACTGAGCCCCCTTTTGCCCAGTCAGTTCCTTAATTCAGAAATGGTGAAATACCTGCCCTTAGAAACCACATATTGATTGGTTTATTTGAAGAAACGAACTCAAGGTCATGCTAACAGATTTGGCCACAGGGTCAGGACCCGCCAGAGGACTTTATATATATATCCCTAAAATTTAGAGATTGATATTCACCAAATATCTGTAATTGCAATTGAAAGGCATGAAGAGATATGAATACAAGGATATAACATATTCAAAGACCCTAATCAAAAACAGGGCCCGAGTCATAACCCAGTCCAGTGTGATGAAAACATTTTTTTGATTTATTGTAAAGATCATCCATTTTAAAAACATACACAAGCCTATTGAAATTTGTTTAATTTTTAATATATTTCAATTCTAAATATATCTAATAAATATGTTTGATTTTTATGACATCAACCTGCATATTTATAGCCCGTGACACATTCATTTTAATTATACCCCCAATGACGCACTGTCACGGGCATCACAGGTTTTAGTAGTACTGCAAATTAAGTGTTGATCATCTATAAATAATGGGGATTAAATTGAGACAATTAAGTTTAAAAGACAAGTGACAAGATGGTACAGTACAGGTACTGGAGCACCGACAAATCTGGCTATATAGCTAGGAGATTTGGCTAAATAGTCAAATATGACTATACTTATATACATATGATAGGGTGAATGTAAACAAGCACGCCAGTACTGCATGGCCTTAATTATCTCGTCCATTTCAATTTAAATGCTGACTAAACAGCTGAGTCAGTGAAATGAAAGATTTTTATCTAAAATCTCATTTTCCGGTGACTTAATTTGTTGAATGTCGCCGTTGTAATTCTTAGTACTTGCATCCTTTTATCCTAGAACTCCATCTGATGGTCAGACAAAAATATCAACAATTTCTGTACCAAAACACGAAATATTTCACTCCCTCCCAACACATATAAACAACTTTCAATGCATGTTAATTATCATTCTTTCAGAAGCATCTTCTGAAACTAAAGCACACATCATCTGGGGCCGAATCTGCATCATCCGGATGCTTATCTTCTGTAATACAAACGATGCAGATGCCATATTGAATAAACACGCTATAGTTTGTTACTTAAAAAATAAGTGATGTATATGTACAGGGAAAAATAGCAACAATGGAATTCAATGGAGTTTTTAAATGAAAATCTTTCATTTCGACGACCCACCTGTTTGGTCAACAGTTAATTAAATCAAAATGTATGTTTATTATGCTGCTAACTTATATTCGCTGTAATAATAAATTCGCCATAGGTTAAAAAAGGCGAAAATTAAACGAAAGCAAAAATTTCCCAATATTCAGTATTTTGTTTCTTATAAATTAGCCCCATATCAAAGCCACAATAAAGTAAATTCTAAAAGTCATCAAGAAACGAGATACGTACGACCAGTACTGGCGTGTGTTTTTTTTACATTCACCCTATAGCTATACCTAGTCATATTTGACTATTTATATAGCCAAAAGCCAGGTTTGCCGGTCCTCCAGTACCTGCAGTGTACTCTGCCAACTAGCCACTAATAGGATGTTCTGCTCTTTTCTTAATGTTTTAAGGTGTGTCAGTCTAATATATCTCTACCACAATTTAAGTCAGTTGTCATACTATATACAATAGGCCTAGCATAGATATTGAACTTTGACCACAAGGGAACCAGCGAACATGTTTTGTATTCTTTATGATTAATCAGAGACTTTTCGGGCGTTTAAATATTTTAATTTGCATTCGCTTGTGTAAGAGAAATATGTCACTTACTTTTCCAGAGCAGTTAGGAAAATGGTAGATGTTTTCAAATCGAAACCCTCCCATACTTCTTGTATTTGACGATGTATTTCGTTCTGCTCATCTGTATCGTCTCTCGACTTCATGAAAAACATACGAGGTTGTTCCGAACGACACTTCATATTTTTAAAGTCTCCCTCTCGGGGGAATACTTGTGTTTTATCTGTATTTTGGATGTAAACGGTTGTTGGATTTTAAATAACGAATTGTTTTTATTATGACATCTAGCAAACAAGATATTTATGACAACTTCACGGAAAGTTTATCACTAATCACAAATAAAGTGTATAAGGATTGAGAAATTAATACCAGATTGATGTGGTAGGCCTAGATGCCTTAAATTTCTGAACTCGCGCGATTTCTCCTCTTAAACGAGATTTCAACATCCATGGAGATTCATATACAATATGGCGGCGAACGACATAAAAATGGGATGATTCGTGCACGTCGTCGGTAATTATGTACATTTTCCCTGTAAGCATCAAGCTCACATACACGACATTAGTAACGGTTTAAACCTGACTGTATTCTTAGGTGAAACTACCGCATGCATAAAGGACGAAAGCTCAAAATAATGCACACCAAAATCATTTGTTGACAAATATTTTCAACATTTTCCAGTCAATAAATGCAAATTTATAAAAATGGTGAAAAATGACATGCAACTGCTACTTGAGTTTTTTAAAGAACATTTTATGAAATGATGTTTAAGCATAATCTGAATGAAATATAGAACATAATTAAAAGAAACAAATTTCTAGATCTATTATGTAAGGCCCAATTAGTCTTTCACAGATAACTGCATGCTGAATGCATGTTTGTTGATATAATATTTTTCTTGGTAGGCCTAGTGGATATCCTGGATGATGGCAGTTTGAAGTGTGTTAGCTCCCATCCTCTTCGAGTTAACAGTTGTCAGATAACCCACTGTTGCTTGATCTTGTCAAGAAGCATTGGCTTTATTTTCACCCTTCTGTTGGTCATCTTATAGGTTGCCACTTAAAAGGCTGCAGACCTTAGATGCTATGTTTATGCCTTTATGTCAGATGTGACAAGTAGTTGTCGTTTCTGTAATATTAGTCACCTGATTAAGTGATTTGGCAGTCATGTGGTATATTAAGGGGACATGTATACTTCCAGTGTAAAAGTAAATCGGTAGCATTAACCAACTTCATCAAAGTAAAACATTGGTAAATTTGGATGAAAATGGCTGAAATTTCATTTTGTTTAAGAAAGAGATATCTGCTGACTTTTAAGTACACATGTACCCTGTTGTTATACAGTATTTTGCATATTTTTTTGTGCAACTCCAAGATTTTCAGTGAATACCAGAAGTACGATACATACATGTCAAAAACCTGGTCGAGAGAAAAAGTGTCTCTGAAACAACATATTCATTTTCACAAGTAGAACCTCTGTATTTTTTCTAGCTGCATGTTGTGATTTTTTGTCTTGCCGCCACAAAGTGGAAGCGAGACTACTTAAGGTGTTGCTTTTCTGGCGACGTCTTCAACATGACGTTTTTGCGTTTAAGTTATAGTTACACTGAAAGTATAATTATAAGTGCTAGAACAACCATACTGGGACCATAGGTGCATCTTAGGTAGTAAATCTCAACCCATGCATCAAATGCTAGATGCGGCCTATAGCTACCTTTCATGGTCCAATTGACTTTGTCAGCATTTCCATCAACATTCAGTTTTTGGGTTTAAGGTTGTTTCTCTGATATATGTGCATTGATGGTCAAAGCGGGGCATAGGCGAGACATATCAATCCAAATGGCTTGTTTCTTTATGTGATTGTTGAGAAATTTCATGAATGTGTTTTCACTCCTTGAAAAAAATACATTTCAACCTTCTGAGGTAAAAACATGGTTACTGTTACTATAAATAGGTTTTTGCAACTTTGCTCTGCAGTCAGATTCCATTTCTTATTTGTGTGATAAACTTCACAAATAACTTATAAATACAATTTTAAATTAGGTTTCAATCGTCTGGGGTCACAAACAAGGTCAGTTACTACTTTTGCTTTACTTTGTAAATGTGATTGCATGTTTATGAATAGATTGGACTAAATCGTCATTGTCTTTTTTTGTAGCCTGATGACAACATGTAGAACCATGAAGATTCTCCGGCAAATTGTTTACTGAATCATTCTACTTCAATAAGGAAAAGAAATTTAAAAAAAATGGAATTGATGAGGATGCTGAATGACTCCTCCAGAGGGAGCAGGAAGAAAGGGTCTATCCCTCAGGAGGAAGAAGAACCAATGAGCAAACAAATGAAGATTCTCTTGGAACGTAAGAAAGAAGAAGAGAGAAACAAAGCCTTGGGTCATTGGGGCACTCTGAGGAACTCCATCCGTAGAACAATTACAGCGGTCACTCAGGCTGACCTCAAAGAGCGGGTCATTTCGCATGGAATTCATCATATGAGAAAACTGAACCATCCTGGTACCATCAAAAGTGTTCTTTACATGTCCGATACAAAGGTAACTAGAAACTACTACAGTAATTGATTTACTGGTATGTATTTGTACAACAATGAGAAAAAATGACAGTTTATCTCTCAAGCATGTATATATGGGTTCAATGCATGGTTCATTGATGTTCAACTTTAATGTTCAAAATTTTTTAAAAAAAACTGGTTTGAAAAGTCAATTAAAGGTTTTTCGTTTTAATTGAATTGGAGGGTCAAACCACATATAGTCCCTAACATGAAAGGTATTGTTCAAGGCCTACATGTTTACAGTAGAAAATTGGTGGGATTCTTTACTTTAACTCTAAACTATGTAAATTTCATACTGGTCTCAGCAGAGGGCTTAGATAGCCGTTTTTGTTCTAACATGCATTAAAAAAATTATTAATTTGCAATATTCACGTTTATAATGAACATTTTGAAGTTGCAACTTGTTAATCTACAGGCAATCTATCTGATAATCTTGAAACATTTTTTGAGACACTTGCATGAATTAAATTAATTATTCATATATATTGTAAAATCTATAACCCTTTTTGAAGTTCTTTTATTTATAGCAACTAAATTATTATTTATATTTATTCCCAGTTTTCTATGAAAAATATAGTTTTTAAACTTTGAAATTCTCCAAATAATCATTGTATATTACTGCCAAAAACTTAGGAAAAAAATCCTGACATAATTATATCTTTGATGAGTAATTTTTGAAAAGAGAAAGCTATATATACTTTCCAAACATTTCTTGGAAGAAAAAGGAAATAATAATGAAATAAAAAAAAATTCAACAGCAGTACAAACGAAACAGGTTCAGTCACCGGAGGATTCAAACCCGGGACCCTCAATCAATATATACTTTTGAATTTAGCAAAGGAGCTACTTGGTCAATGTTAGTACACTGCAGTGCTGGACACACTAAATATTCTTGCCCAGTTGTGTTAAAGTTGTATATCAGAAATTAAATTTAGGTTGGTTACTTAGTGAGGATGAAAAAACTGAGGGGTCAATTATTTTTGTTCTATAGAAGCTTATTAAGTCAAAGTAAATTTATTTTTTTCTTAATTTTTTCATCTGTTTTAATAAACTTTAAATAAGTGAGCTGTGCTATATATTCTATAGATCTGGTTACATTATCATGTGTTCATGTGGGCTGCGGTCAAAATCAAAATTAGGAATGTTAGTTTGATTGTTGCTCTTGTGTTTTTGCAGGAATATGTCACAACAGATGGTAAAAACATCCGAGTGTTTTTAGAAGATGGTCGTAAAAAAGAATCGTACATCCCAGAGGAACCCATAGACAACCTTGTATACTGTAAACACACAAAACAATACGTGGGATGGATCACTGACCAGGATGAAATTTTTGTAAATATTACTTTCTATTTTGTAATTTTGATTGAACGCATATGTATAAACAATATGCAGAGCAGTTTTGTTAAAAAAAAAATAAAAATGAATTAACTTTGTATTTCATAGATAAAAAAATCAGCTGTAGCAGCTGCACGGCAGAAGAAATTTCTCTGTAGCTCAATTGGTAAAGCACGGGACTGGGTAGCTGGGCTTGTCGTTTCGATCCCTGGTGGAAGTATGTACTTGTAGTTACTGTTGCAAATGGTATTGTTGTTGTGTTTGAGGGTAAACACACCTAAAAAAGAGGGAGTTGTGTAGCAGATTTTTATTGTACAATCGCCTTCTAGCTTCGTGCTAGAGGGAATTTCCATTTAGCTCAATCAGTGGAGTGGCGGACTGGGAAGCTGAGGGTTGTGGGTTCGATCCCTATGCAGTGGAAGCACACTACTCTCTTGTTACACAGCTACGCCCTTGCCATCCGATATCAATATCTTACATTGAATTTCTATTAAGATTCAATAACTGTCTGTATAACTAATGATATGCTGTCTTTGTGAAAATTTTCTAGACATATCAGTTCCATTGCAGACAGATAGCAATGGAGATTGGAGATCCAGTTTTTGTTTCTCTTTAACATACTTTCCTTCTCTTTTAAATGTTTTCTGCAATTTCATGACCACAGAACATCTGAGAATTTTAGATGAGAACTTTATAGCTTTATTTAAACACAAACATTTCTTTCTTGATCAAACTTATAGCTGATGAACTCAGAATTTGAGATCATATCCCAGGCCAGAGTGCCAAGCAAAATCAACCTGGCCATGTACAACCAGAGTGCGCGAGAGTTTGTCACAATCAGTCCAGGCTATTTGGTGGTAAGTGTTGTTTGTTTGCAAGTTTCATTTTCTGCTTAATTAATTGGGGGAAAAAAGATGGCCATCAGGCAGCCATCTTGAATTTGACTTTCAAAGTTTGTAATCATATTATCTTCGGAGGTACGTATGTTACATATCTTTCTCACATCTAGCATATAAGTATGTTCTTTTTGTTCCTTTGTTTTGCATTTCATTTTGAGATTCAACCAGAAATCTTGATCTGAATGATATGACTTACAGAAATGAGAAAATCGGTCTTAGTCTTTTTTTCTCTCTAGTTGGTACAAAAAATGACTGATACTTAAATTTTTAGAAATTGCTATTTCATTGTTCTGTAATATAAAACCACACCCTACTTTGAGCCAACGTTTATGTGTTGACCCATTGTTTCCTTATAAATTATGCACTGAATATCTTTACTTTTCTTTTTATAGTGTTGGGCATTTAGATATGGAGCAAGGCATCTGATTCCCCGCAAAATGACAAAAATCCGATTCAATGATGACAAAACATTTCGTCACATAGTCCTGGAAGAGACAGCCAGCCGACGGCAAAAATGTTATCTGTCAAACAACACAGGCATAGTGGTATGGTATATTACTGCAGAATTTAATTAAAACAAGAGATAATTCATAGAATCAGGTTAATTACTCATAAATTATTCTGTATCAGGTTTAGGTTTATTTTCCTACCACGGCTAAATTCATGCAGGGTTGTTTTCATGTTTCATCAGAAAAAAATAATATTTGGGCAGTGTAATACTAGCAGAAAAGAAGTCAGCCGGTCTGTGATATTTTAAAACATTGTCAAATATTTTATCTATTTTATAAATATGCTCTCGGTACTCCTGGGATATTTTTATTACCTGGTACGTTAAAATACCACAAAGTCTTGTTTGAAAATGATGAAACATTTTAATGTATTCCGATCAAATTTTTAACAGTAAACCATAAAACGTGAATTATATGCAATTCAAATTTTCTGTAGTCTTTTAACTCCCAAGGATATCTCTGAGAATGAAGCTGTCTGTATGTTGTACTTTGTATGACTGTTTGTCTGAAGTTTCAAACTAGATCTTAAATTTCATCTTAAGTCCCAAACTAGATCTTAAATTTTGTTTAAGTCTCAAACTAGATAATTAATTTTATCTTAAGTCCCAAACTAGATCTTAAATTTTGTCTTAAGTCCCAAACTAGATATTAAATTTTGTCTTTAAGTCCCAAACTCGATCTTAATTTTTGTCTTAAGTCTTAAACAAGATCTTAAATTTTGTCTTAAAGTCTTATACTAGATCATACAAAAATGAATGAAACTTGAAATTTTGGCTACTTTTTAGAAGTCGCCATTGAATCCCTCCACGGAAAGCACGGAAATAACACATGTACAGGGGAAAAGGGGTTTTAATTGTCAAGAAATAGTTGGCTGTTCCATTTGCTGCAGTCTGGGAGAGAGGGACTAAATAGTTACTGTGTAATTTATATTTCTGGTGTTCCATTGTAGGCATACAACGTGTTTGAGGGAAAAGAACTGATCCACAAGAAAGACCTGCATGAGAGGCTGATAACAGCCTTAACCTACTTTAATCCCCTCAAGTACCTGATAACTGGCGCTCTGGATGGGACCAGTAAGTCTATACAAATCAACCCTACACTATTTTTTGTGATTAGCACCCAGGGCACTTAGAAAGTTTACTGACTGTATGGATTTACTGACTGTATGGAAAGGTGAAATTATTGTACATGTATATTGTTTGAATATAGTTGCTGGTTTTACTTTTTTTTTTTTTTTTAAATCTGTCTTTGCATAATTAAGTCACATGAAAACAGTGGTGTGGCCGAAATCCTTATGACAATTAAAGGATCTAAAATGTCATAATTTTGTGAAGTATTTGAAATTTTTCTTTTTAAGTCTTAAAATGTCAGAGCTTTGATATAAATATTAAACATCAATGTTAAATGGTACATTCAAATTTATTTCTAAAACATCGTAAAGTTTGCTTAAATATAGGCAATACAAATTTGATTATCATGCTTTGAATATCTTCCTCTTTAGAACTCTAATTGATAAGTGAAATGATTCAAAAGTGATTGTCCTTTTTCGTTAGATTATTTTGCTTTGAAAATCTTCCTCTTTAGAACTGTAATAGTGATTGCCATTTTTTTTTTCCCCAGTCAAAGTGTGGGACAATGATTGGTTCCTGAAGATGGTGTTTGTGGGACACACTCAGTGTGTGAACATCCTCGCTATCTATCCAGAGGGTCCAGCCGTCATCTCCGCCAGCTACGACTGTACAATTCGTGTGTGGAACCTTGACTCCTGTGATGAAATGGACAGGTAGTTTTTCGTGGTTTTTTTAATGAATGAGACCACAAAGAATAATGAAATAATATTTTCTTTGTTGTTTTAGATGTACCATCATGATAAATAAATAAATTGAATTCTGCCTTTAACGTTAGAATATGATGGTATGGAACACGATGTTTCATTCAAACATATTCCCCAAGATGTACTACGTACTGCACGTAATGGAAATGTCTTGAACAGAACAATTTGTCTTCTGCCATAAATTGTTTAAAATATACATATAAATTCTTTGAAAATAGTTGTCACGTTTCGTGGAATATAAATTATGTTAATTTGAATAGAGTTGTTTTGCATACCATCATAAATGTTAAAAAGATGTATAACAGTTCTTAAACTTAAGTGTTTCAGTGAGACACGAACATAATTTGAGTGTTATTTAGTTGTCACGCATCGTGAAACATGTTTAAACGGAACTGTTTTGCATACCATCAAAAATGTCAAAACATACAATGTTAACATTTCAGTGAGGCATTCAAATAATTCGGGTATTATTTAATTGTTGCACATCGTGGAATATGTTCAACGGAACTGTTTTGCATACAATCATAAAAATTTTAAAGATACATATCTGAATCTGGCAGTGTAGAAAATTTCATTGAGACATGAAAATAGCTGTTATAGGCCACACAAAAGCATTTATTCACTCAAAACGTTAGTCCATCATCAATCCCAAAGAGCAACAATTTACTTGGTGAGACCTAAGACAGCCGACTCGGTTAAAATTATATTGAAACTGATCAACTGAAAAAACATTTTGAAATATTTGTACACAGCCCAATCATTTGTAACTGTAGACAATACCAACTACAGAAGTGTTGTCCTTAACAAACTATAAAACATAATTTTTTCACACATCACACACCAAGTATTAAACAAAGGGTATCTGAATCGAGACATTTCGGTACATATATAACAACTATTGTACATACGCTTACAGCGTAGCCAAATCGACATCAATTTTGTGGACAACTCGTACACATTTTACACCTTTGTGTGCATACGCTTCACTGGTCATTTGTCTGATGAAGGTGACAGAGTACATATCGTAGTGCTAGTCGTCAAAACGTCACATAGAAACACTCATTAGTAACAAGAAACTTTTCATAATAATGTTTTCACCATTTCAGAGCCAAACTGGACACTCCTGTTGAAGGGTTAGCTGCGGAGCTAAATTACGATGTGTTCTTTACGTACGGGGCTAAACAAGTCGATTTGTGGAAGATCCAGCATCTTTACAATATCTTTACAGCCATCGGGTAAATCTTTAAATTCGTAAACTTTAAATTCTGGTATTTTTAGGAGTAATCTGTTTTTTATTGCAAACATGCATTCTGTATGTCACAGTTCTAATGATTAAGTTCTCCAATGCAGAATTTGTGATTATGAATGAAATATTCAACCAATTTTCATAATATCATTTAAAGTTTCTGAAGTTTTCTTGAAACCGTTCAGTGTGTTGATTAATTTGAGATGATTATAAGAATTGTGAAATCGGTTGGATCTGATAATTATAAAAAAAATCAAAACCTATTCAACTTAAAATTTATGTTGAATATACGGAACCTACATTGTATATGCTATTTCATTGCCCCAGTAAATTGCTGAATTCCTGTGTTTTCAATATGAACTTTCACAGAAAGTAAAATTGGTAATTCGTTAACTCATTCACCCCTGAAATTTCATAATGAACTATTCCAAGCTTTGAATTGGAAGAGTTTGAATGTGTCTTCAGGGGTGAATGAGTTAATTCCAGGACGGTCCTTTCTCAAAGTTCTATGAATACCGTAGGTCATGAATTATTACAAAATAATGAAATGAACATTGATACATGATGTATCCAGATATTAAATTTAAAAATTAAATTCTAAATCAACTCTTTGAACCAAGATTGTTATGTAATAAGTAAAGACAATATTTGTTCAATTAATTAGATAATCTTGACTTATGTATCTGATGTTTTGCAGCCAAAGAGTAAATAGTATCAAGCAGACGACACATCCGTTTTACCCGATCCGTTCTTTGGTCGTGAGTCGAGACTGTAGCATACGGTTGATAACGCCACCTAGTGGAGATGTGATGACGACTCTTCTGATGGACCCATCTATTGGGATTGTTGATGCGGCCTATGCTGTCGCGGAAGGTATGAAGTTACAGAATCTTGTGCCCCATAATGATATACAGTCAAACCTGCTCATGTGACCACCTCCATTATGAAACCACCTGTGTTAAGAGGCCACTTATAATGTTCCCCATTGAAGTGATTTTATTGTGAATTAAACCTGTATAAGAGACCACATGTGTTAAGAGACCACCTGCATGATGAAACCACCTGTGTTAAGAGACCACCTGTGTTAAGAGACCACCTGCATTAAGAGACCACCTGTGTTAAGAGACCACTTCTAATGTTCCCCATTGAAGTGATTTTATTGTGAACTAAACCTGTGTTAAGAGATCACCAGTGTTAAGAGAACAATTTCAGTGTTGCCCACTGTAGTAATTTCAATTTCAAATAAACCTGTTTAAGAGACCAATTTTTGGACCTCCTCAGGATGGCCTCTTAATACAGGGTAGAATGTACATCCAATTATTCTCAGTCATCAGAGGTGGCATACTATTTTCTTATATTTTTTAGATAGATGTTCAATTACAAAAAATTCACTCAAGAACTTTCGGTACATAATTCATTTTACATTTAAAATGGCAGATTTTGGTGTCAAACCCAGAAAACTTAATTTTAGGATACATATACAGTACACTCTTGTCTTAACTACTTGCATTGGGTCTGTAATTTGGCCAACCTGTTGAAGAATCTTAGTTTTTAGATTGTCTACTTGTTATACATTGGCGTTGTTTGAACCAAATTCTTTGGTCAGATTAGACAAAATTCAAAATTGGACTTGACTAATATTTTATATTTTATATTTATATATAACTATCCTGAAAATATCAAAATTATTTACTTTCTAATCTTTGAATTTATTGAATAAAGGAATTTTAAGACATTATGATATTCTTCTCTTCCATTTACAGAGAAGTTATTTACTGTCGTTGGGAATGGAGACATTTACAAATGTCGGACTGACATCAACCCTGCCCAGGTCGAAGCTGTCTGGAAGTGTCAAAACCCCAGAGGTAAAATGAAATCACCTTGCCTTATACCCCCTCCTGAAATGAAGGGGAGGCATATCTAGTTATCACGTTAACAGAGCATCTATGCATCCCTCTCTCTATGCATAGTAAAAAGCATGTGAACAAGATATCTCAGGAACTATATTTACACCAAAGTATATGGTAACATTAAGTTCCATGGAATTCACAGTGTTTGGGATTGCTGTATTTGCAGTGTTACTTGACTGAAATACCTCAATAATGGTGTTGAAATGCAGCTTCATCATACCATGAAAGATTAAAAAAAAAATAACAGTGTTCTGCTGTTTCATATTTCCTGATGGATTTTTTTTTTCAAAATTACTTATCAACTTATCAAAATTAACGTATAACTGCAGTTTTAAACTATAGATTGTTAATGCATTAAGTAGTTTCATTCTTTACACAATCGTAATAAATTCATTCTTTACACAATCATAATAATTTCATTCTTTACACAATCGTAATAACTTCATTCTTTACACCATCATGATAATTTCATTCTTTACACCATCGTGATAATTTCATTCTAGTACATAAAAAAAAAATTTCATTCTTTACACCATTGTGATACTTTCATTCTTTACACCATCGTGATAATTTCATTCTTTACACAATCGTAATAATTTCTTTCTTTATACAATCGTAAAAATCAGTCACTTAATATCTAGCTCTGATATTTTGTCTTTTTTATTTATGGTTTTCTTCTGTGACTTTTGCTTAGGGGACATTGAATAAACCGACATTGCTCTGCTGCTCCCTTGTAACTCTTGTGAACCGATCTTTCATTTTTTCACTTTCCTTCCATTCTTTTCGGCATCGTCTGCCTGTATAGGCATCAATATTAATTTGACCTTAGATGTTGCAAGGATGTTAAACCCACAACAGATAAATAAAACTCTGACCTTCACGTTTGGTCTTTTTAGTTTGACCTTTTAACCTATGATGCCTTTAACCTTTATCATCTCTGACCTTTTACCTTTGAATCAACAGAAGCGTGCAATTACCTCCTGATCTACGAGTATGTGCCAGACTTTAAGAGTGATGCGTGGGCTGCATTTCGACGTGGTCTGGCCACAAAGAGCATCAACCAGGCTTCAGAAGGAGATGAGCCGGTCTCAAACAATCGCACCATCCTCCTCGGGGGTCGTAAGGACGGCTACATCTGTGTGTTTAACTTTGAGACGGGCGACGTTGAATTCAAAATTGACGTGAGTGTAAAACTTTAATTAGAGTATATAGTTTTGAATGCGCAATGGAGCTCAAAAAATGTCTTGAAAAATTATAAAATTCACTGAAAACTCAAAGGCTGTCTGGAATATATAGAATTTTGTAGGTTAAGGAGACAAAACTTCTTGTGATTGATTGGTGGAAAATGAATTACCATGTGGCTATTCATTTGAATAATTGTAGCTCTAGGTGTGTTTGCAAAGATTTTCACTGAAAATTTATATTAGTGATATTTATTACTATCTAGTGAGAAAAAATGAGAAATTCTAGCTGTTAGAATAATAGCCATGCTATAAAAAGCGCCCTATCTAGCTAACATAAGCCACTCTAAAGCGCTTTACAGTACATAGATATACAATACATGCATTTAGATGCTTTTAAAATATTGGAAACATAAGATGTGACTTGAATTTTTCCAGGCTCATGGTGTGAAGGGTGTGCTGAGTATGATAGCCAATTCTAAAGAGGATCAGCTCATTTCTGCAGGAAAGGGTAAGTCTTTTACCAACTCCAAAAAAGATCAGCGCATTTCTGCAGGAAAGGGTAAGTCTTTCACCAACTCAAAAGAGGATCAGCTCATTTCTGCAGGAAAGGGTAAGTCTTTCATAAAAACTATATCTCAAAGATGTTTAAGTTAACCTGATGAAATGTTATTGTATTTATCAAGCAATAAGCTCATGCCTGGTAAATTAAAACCCTCATCAGGAAAATGAGCATGAAGCAATGGTGTATCAGCCTTATCACATTCACTGTTGTCTTACAGTTCTATGTCAGTTTAACAAAATATCTATTTCCCTTATCGAAAGGAAACATGATTCTTTGTTTCCCTTGAACAATCATATTTCACAAGGGTTTTGATCTTGTGAAATATGATTAATCTCAGGGAAACAAAGAAGCGTGTTCCCCTATCTACCACAAGGGAAATGAATGTACAGAGACAGGTATTTATACATACAGATTTTACAAATGACAATGTTTCGTTCCAGATAACATCATCAAGGTTTGGCGTCTATACCCGTACGCCCAGGAGGCTCTGGCGCCTCTCCTCCTGTTCTATTGTAAATACACACCCATTCACATGACGATGCTGAAGACGAATCTGTGCGTGGCCTTTCAGGATCACTCGACGGCCACATACAGTATTGTTATATACAATCTCAAAGACAGAAGTAAGTACATGTATTATTAAAAAAAAATGTTACTAGATTATATAGCTGATGTTTTGATGTTAATAGAAATTTGGTGTAGCTTGGTTTATAGTAGAAAAAACATTCTCAAGTTTCTTTTGTTATTCGATTGCATGGATATGAGTATTACGATGCTTAAAGACAACCTGTGTTGTATAGCTGTCAAACATTAGTGTCTATAGTATCAAACTGGTTTATAGAGAAAATGTCTTTTTAGAACGTCTTCAAAATGTTTGTTTTCTCTTAAGCATTTGTTCACTAAGAATGGACTGACAAGCTTTGCTGAATAGTTAGATTCCATTTTAATGGGAATAGTTTGGTTTAATTTGGAATTTAGAAGAAATGATGCAAAGCATCTTTTTATATAAATTCTTATAGAAATACCCAATTTAAAAAGTTAGAAACAGAAAACAAATCATCATGTCATTCACAATTCCAAATCCCCGATTTTTCAGCTGTCGTTTCTAAAAAAAAATTGTAATTTTAAGCACACCTGGGGACCAGTTTCATATATTTTTCAAACTTGCATTATATGCTTATAAATTTGAACATACAGTTTTGTATCATTAAATTTCACTGACCATGATCTGAAAAATGACCTACCCTGGCTTAGGTGCAAAAGTTTTAGGAGCTGATTTTCAAAAATTTCATTCTTGATGCAATGGTGAGGCAGAAATAATGAAATTCTATCTTCAGAATGTTGTGAATAATGTCTTTTTTTTAGATCCCAGTACTCAAACAACAAAACTTGTTCACTCTAGTAAGTGACATCCATCCAATAAAGAGACGCACTGTGTTTTACACATCAGATTTTGTGTTTGACACTTCACTGTATTTGTAAAAGAGTTACTTCCCCTGTGGTGTAATAACCTCCCTTATATTTTAATTACCTCCCCTGTGTCACCCATGACGTCAAATTTCACTCAGCATGGTGGTTGGTTGTTTTATAGTAGATACAGTATTTACTAGTACAAGTTAAAATTGTTAGAGAACCCAGTTTCACATACGATCATTAATTCAAGGATATTCCTATTCCACAGGAAAGCATCATACCAGGTATCGATCGTGGTTAAGATTTTTTTTTGTAAATTTTTCCTATGATTGGCAATTCTATCTTTCATGGAAAATCTTACCCAAAGATAAGGAACACCCATGTTACTGGAATCAGATATACTATAAAAAGTGTGGTCTTCACTTTTAAGAACCCAATAAACAAGCTATTTGTAGAAATGTTAAAGTTTGAAAATTTTATGGAAATTGGTTAAATAGTATCATGAACATATTTGATACTTTACTATCAAAGTTTATTTGAAAAAGGGCATATTATCTGAAAATGTATATTATCTACATTTATTTTATTGTATGTATATATACACATTAAAAAAAAATCAATCAAATCAGGAAATAAACTAAGGAGATTATTAATGAAACATTATATTTGCTTTCATTGTGAATGAGTCACTCAAGAACTATCAGATTCACTAAGTGGATAAAGGTTTGAGTGATAATTTGCTATTTTTTACTTTCTATACAGATCATAATTTTTTTTATGTCGGGCATTAAAAGGACTGTAAAAAAAAATGTAGAACAAAAATGGAAAAATAGAATATTTAAAATCAATAATACCATAATAAACAAAAGGATGATGTAAAATGTTTCATATTTCAGGGAAAAATTAAGAAATATGAAAGAAAATGTTAAAGAGGAGAAAAAAAATGAACAGTTATCTATCTATTGATGTTTCATATTTCAGAGAAGAAAGTTTTGAATTCACAAATATTATGGATTTATTATGTAACTTTTGCAGTATTCAGTATGCCCAAGAATGAAACAGGTGGATTATACAATTCTAGTCTTAATAGAAAAAAACGACTCTACAGAATCTATTAGTGCTGATATACACATCTACTATTAATACTACAGCATACTAGAATATATCTATACAGATTTTAGAATCCTTTCAGTATTAACAAGCACTGCTAATATTATTGTAAATTAAAAATGCGTCAATACAGATATTTCAGAATCTATTTGTATTTACAAACACTTCCTGTATTACTGCAAAAATAATACAATATTAATACATACTTCAGATTCTATGAATAATTACAAACACATACAAATTACAGTATTAACCACAAGATCTAATTTTTATACAGACTGTCCAGATTCTTTAAGGACATATATATCCATCTGTTTTCCTATGAAATAATATGATATTAACACAATCTTTCCAGAATCTATTATTTCTGTCCATATATTATCAATTTCTATGAATCAAATACAATTATAAGACAAAGTATTTCTAGTTTCTATTATTTCATTATCTATATGTGAGGTTTTGCAGTCTTAAAACAAGGGGCATTATACAGAAGTTTCAAGGTTATTAACGAGTGACATTATACAGAGGTTTTACTGTATACAAACAAGGGACATTGTATCAAGGTTTTACTGTATATAAACTAGGGACATTATATCAAGGTTTTACTGTATATAAACAAGGGACATTGTATCAAGGTTTTACTGTATATAAACAAGGGACATTGTATCAAGGTTTTACTGTATATAAACAAGGGACATTATATCAAGGTTTTACTGTATATAAACAAGGGACATTGTATCAAGGTTTTACTGTATATAAACAAGGGACATTATATCAAGGTTTTACTGTATATAAACAAGGGACATTGTATCAAGGTTTTACTGTATATAAACAAGGGACATTATACAGAGGTTTTACTGTATATAAACAAGGGACATTGTATCAAGGTTAACTGTATATAAACAAGGGACATAATACAGAGGTTTTACTGTAGATAAACAAGGGACATCGTATCAAGGTTTTGCTGTATATATAATTATAAATAGGGACATTATACAGAGGTTTTACCGTATATAAACAAGGGACATTATACAGAGGTTTTACTGTATATGAACAAGGGATATTGTATCAAGGTTTTACTGTATATAAACAGGGACATTATACAGAGGTTTTCCTGTATATTAACAAGGGACATTATACAGAGGTTTTACTGTATATAAACAAGGGACATTATACCGAGGTTTTACTGTATATAAACAAGGGACATTATACAAAGGTTTTACTGTATTTAAACAAGGGACATTATACAGAGGTTTTACTGTATATAAACAAGGGACATTGTATCAAGGTTTTACTGTATATTAACAAGGGACATTATACAGAGGTTTTACTGTATATTAACAAGGGACATTGTATCAAGGTTTTACTGTATATAAACAAGGGACATTACTACAGAGGTTTTTCAGTATTTAATGAGTGGCATTATACAGAGGTTTTACTGTATATAAACAAGGAACATTGTATCAAGGTTTTACTGTATATTAACAAGGGACATTATACAGAGGTTTTACTGTATATTAACAAGGGACATTGTATCAAGGTTTTACTGTATATAAACAAGGGACATTACTACAGAGGTTTTTCAGTATTTAATGAGTGGCATTATACAGAGGTTTTACTGTATATAAACAAGGAACATTGTATCAAGGTTTTACTGTATATTAACAAGGGACATTATACAGAGGTTTTACTGTATATTAACAAGGGACATTGTATCAAGGTTTTACTGTATATAAACAAGGAACATTATATCAAGGTTTTACTGTATATAAACAAGGGACATTGTATCAAGGTTTTACTGTATATAAACAAGGGACATTACTACAGAGGTTTTTCAGTATTTAATGAGTGGCATTATACAGAGGTTTTACTGTATATAAACAAGGAACATTGTATCAAGGTTTTACTGTATATTAACAAGGGACATTATACAGAGGTTTTACTGTATATTAACAAGGGACATTGTATCAAGGTTTTACTGTATATAAACAAGGGACATTACTACAGAGGTTTTTCAGTATTTAATGAGTGGCATTATACAGAGGTTTTACTGTATATAAACAAGGAACATTGTATCAAGGTTTTACTGTATATTAACAAGGGACATTATACAGAGGTTTTACTGTATATTAACAAGGGACATTGTATCAAGGTTTTACTGTATATAAACAAGGGACATTACTACAGAGGTTTTTCAGTATTTAATGAGTGGCATTATACAGAGGTTTTACTGTATATAAACAAGGAACATTGTATCAAGGTTTTACTGTATATTAACAAGGGACATTATACAGAGGTTTTACTGTATATAAACAAGGGACATTGTATCAAGGTTTTACTGTATATAAACAAGGAACATTATATCAAGGTTTTACTGTATATAAACAAGGGACATTGTATCAAGGTTTTACTGTATATAAACAAGGAACATTATATCAAGGTTTTACTGTATATAAACAAGGGACATTGTATCAAGGTTTTACTGTATATAAACAAGGAACATTATATCAAGGTTTTACTGTATATAAACAAGGGACATTGTATCAAGGTTTTACTGTATATAAACAAGGAACATTATATCAAGGTTTTACTGTATATAAACAAGGGACATTGTATCAAGGTTTTACTGTATATAAACAAGGAACATTATATCAAGGTTTTACTGTATATAAACAAGGGACATTGTATCAAGGTTTTACTGTATATAAACAAGGAACATTATATCAAGGTTTTACTGTATATAAACAAGGGACATTGTATCAAGGTTTTACTGTATATAAACAAGGGACATTACTACAGAGGTTTTTCAGTATTTAATGAGTGGCATTATACAGAGGTTTTACTGTATATAAACAAGGAACATTGTATCAAGGTTTTACTGTATATTAACAAGGGACATTATACAGAGGTTTTACTGTATATTAACAAGGGACATTATATCAAGGTTTTACTGTATATAAACAAGGGACATTATATCAAGGTTTTACTGTATATAAACAAGGGACATTATATCAAGGTTTTACTGTATATAAACAAGGGACATTGTATCAAGGTTTTACTGTATATAAACAAGGGACATTGTATCAAGGTTTTACTGTATATAAACAAGGGACATTGTATCAAGGTTTTACTGTATATAAACAAGGGACATTGTATCAAGGTTTTACTGTATATAAACAAGGGACATTGTATCAAGGTTTTACTGTATATAAACAAGGGACATTGTATCAAGGTTTTACTGTATATAAACAAGGGACATTATATCAAGGTTTTACTGTATATAAACAAGGGACATTGTATCAAGGTTTTACTGTATATAAACAAGGGACATTACTACAGAGGTTTTTTAGTATTTAATGAGTGGCATTATACAGAGGTTTATTTTTGGTATTTAACCAGTGGCATTATATTGTACATTCAAATGTTGATTAACATGTGTAGGTGTAAACAGTGACAAAAAACAGGAATGTAAGTACACTATATACTGCTGCTGACAATGGTTCATGCTTAATCTCCAATATTTAAATATTTAATACATTTTAACAATGGGTTTTTGCAGAAGAGTGATAAAAATGATATATCTTTTTTTTGACGAGTGGTCTTTACAAATAATGGCTTATTTATATATAATATGGTTTGTGTATGTCTGTACGACTTGAAAATAATGGTTTTATGTATGGCTTTGTAAAATTTTGGGTGATTAAAAAAAATATTAATAGTTTGTACATGAGTGATATATAAATGTATAACTGTTATCTTGTGAGTGATTATATACAACTTTTTTTTTCTGCTTTTTGCTGATATCAAACTATTATGAATTTTACTGTTGATTGAAGGTACTCATTTAAAAAGATGGCAATTAAGAATTTCATTGAAAGAATTGAATAGAGGTTTGTTTGCGAAGTTTGTAAATGAATACATGTAAATTAAGATTGATATCTGAGACAGGTAGATGGCTAAATTTCAATAAACAAACTGATAGAAAGTGGGACTTTTAACTGATTTAATCTACAAGAGATGAAATTGAGTTACCTTATTAGCCTAATGATAGTGTATTTATTATACCTTTTAGTTTATGTCAAATATATGAGATTTTAGAAGTAAATTAAAAAGTAAATTAAACTTATGAAGTAGTATGACTTACAAGGGCATCCAGGACATTTTACTCACAATGTTGGGAATAAAATGGGGCCTTTGGCTTTGGAATTGAGAAAATTTTGTCACAGTTAAAAGAAACTTAGATTTTTTCTGACTTATTCCATTTCCTTTTTCAATGTATCTTGTAAAGACCAAGATATTTATGAAAGATTTCTTGTTTTTATTTTCGATTTTTTATATTGCAATTTACCTGAATATCACACGAAACTCAAAAAAATAACATTGAATAGTCACTTTATCCTTAGGCCACACAAAATTGATAACTTGTTCTTCAGGAAATTAAATTTAAATTTGGAAGCTAGAAGTCTTTTCTTTTCATGCTGAAAAAGAAATTACCAATAAATTTTTTAAATAAACAACAAAATATTGTGTTCTGTACATCTGATAAGAACATTTTTTTAAGCTTATGTATGATTATCTGTATATATATATGAAAAGTACATAAAACTATACTTCCTTTCAATTTCTATCTTGTGGTCATTCCTCGGTCCATCAGGATCTGAAGCTACCTTGCTGTGTGTTGCAATTAACCGATTCTATGTACTGAATAAAGGAATATGTTCTGAACTTAAACTCTTTGTTTAACATGTCAATCTAACATTATTAACTATAATTCTTGTATTTTGGTGGGTTCTGTATCACATGTACTATGAGAGCATGTACAAAATATCATTATTTTTAATTTAAATGTAGATCAATTACTTTACACAAAGTCAAACAAAACCAAAAACAAAATTATAAAAATAAAAATAAAAAAATAAAATAAAAAGTGTTGCATGAATAATGAAGTTATTGAATTTTGCATGTTACTGTTTCATTTTGATATTTTCTGAAGAAGAAAAAAAAAAATCATGCGATTTTAAGAACCCACCAAATATACCATTATTGTTATTATACAGACTCTTTCAAAATGTTTGTATAAAGTGTTATATTCATATAATATATTTACTACTTGTATTTTCAAATATAGAAGTACAAACATATTTATGCCAAATGTATTCTTGTATATAACATTTATATATTTTATATTTTAATTGTGTTATAACTTAAAATTTAATTGAACATTGTATATAAAAAACATATTCGTCAATAATGCATATCTTTCATATTTTCATTTTGATAATTTATAAGATATGTGTAATAATACTGTTGAACCTTGTTATCTCAAACTCTTTTACCTCGATTACCCCGTTTATTTCGAAGTATTTCTCCGGCCCCGGCCAAATCTCTTCTTTATCTTAGTAAATAAAACTCTAATAATTTGAACCCTGTAAAGTCGAAAAACTTGGATACCTCGAAGTTAGATATTGGTTTCAATATTATTAATCCAACATCAAAACATCGTCTACATCATAGTGTTCAAATTTCATTTTGTTACTTATTAATTTTTTTGATACAAATAAAACACGAAACTACGACATCTCAACATTCCGTGTTGATGAACATCTTTTGCGAGTAGACTAGCATGAAATCGGTAAAAAGAATTTACGATAAAGCTTCAGACTGTAAAATGTGCGGACTGTCAAAACCATGTTGTTCATAATAAAAAACAAACTGCATCAATGTTGATCAACAGTATTCTGTACTTACTGCGAGTCCGTTTAATGACTTGTACACCCAAACTGACGACAGTGCAAACCGGAAAATTGGTCACAAAGCGTGGTCATGCAATGATGCATAAAAACTTACTCTATTTTTGTAAGCGTGTTTATTGTAAAATAACATACCTGTATTTGTTATATTGATTTCTTATATCATTCATCAATTGATTTTAAGCATCGGTTATTAGTAAATTCAACAACTGCTAGTGGTGTATGTCCAAACAGCAAATTTCATACCAAATTTATGAACCTGCATAACCCGAATACTCGGATAACTCAAAGATTTTCCACGACCCCGTCAACTTCGAGATAACAAGGTCCGACTGTATTTTACTTTATTATCAGTTTAATATTTTTTCTTATGGATCATATTATATCAATGACAAATATAATTAATTACTCTATGGCAAATTACTTACTTAAATCAATTATATAGCTCAGGTAACAAAAATTGAAATCAGGAATGGTGCAGAATGTGAATTAATTTATACAGAAAATTACTATTTGTACAGAACTAAAGATGAGTATTTAGTTGTGAAAATGACAACAAATATGACACCTAATTTTCAGTGAGGATTTTGGGATTTTCTAATTGGAATGATATTTTTTAAGTTCGAATTATCTCTGCTTTGTCCTAAATATTATGCAGAACCTATCTAAAGATATTGTGAAGTGAATGCTTTTAGAAACCGTTTTATAATATATAATTACAATAGTTGTCATTCATCCAGGCTTCAAAGAGTCAAACTTATAACTGGTTCAGCATCATATGATAGTTTATAGTTTGTCAACTATTTCTGGGTTTCAAAATTATTATTTAATTTTCCAGTGATAACTTCCTTCCCTATTTCTTTATCATATTAAATAAGCTCAAACTTGAAAATAGAAAATATGATTAAATAATTCATTTCAAAAGGCAATTAATTAAGTCCAACTGTTAGTATGAAAAAAACAGTTAATTAATTGGGTTTTTTTTTCAAACTTTCTATTGTGTGAAAAAACTTTAATGTTTCCCTATAAAAGTAAAAACTGGAAAGAGGGCAATAAGCAAACATTTTAAGATTTTTTTTAATATAAATCTGCAAATATCAACTCTCTACAAAATTTGTTCAAAAATGACTGAAACAGAAAGATTTCAATACACTGCAGTAAAAAAAATGAGACCTAATGTGAATGAGATACTTCTGTGTCACATACCTGAGGGACATTTGTGTACGATTTCCAGATCTGTTTGAACACCAACCTGAGGATGACCACACCGATAGCATAACTGGCCTGACCAGCTGCCAGAGAATGAAACTGTATGCATCGTCCAGTCTGGACGGGACAATCAAGATCTGGGATGAACAGAACAACTTAATAAGGTAGTGGACAAAATATTGATGTTACAATTGATCATCCATGTCAAAAAAAAATTGTATGTGAGAGTAACGTCATCAGTTTTTGAGAAAACGACGTAATTTTCTCACACGAACCAATGACGTAACAATCAATACCTGCTCTCAAGAAAAGATAACTCTGCAATACGCAAAGACGGAATAGTAGGAGGCACGGTAGTCTAGTGGTAGAACGTCAGGCTCGTGATCGAAGGGTTGCGGGTTCGAGTCACGGCACACACTGCGTTTTATCTTTGAGCAAGTTACTTCACTCCCCTTGTTCCAGCCTACTCCGCTGTAAATGAGTATGCGGTTTGGCAGACTGTGCTAGAATTATAGAATGCTAGCTGTGAGCGCCAAAATGGCAACGCTGGCTGTATGCTCCCTAAGGAGTTGAGAACGATTTTGGCTGGTTGCTAAGGCCCTATAAACATGGATAATAATTTGTGAACCGTTTTGAGACGACCTAGGAACTAGGATGTTATAAAGCGGTATATAAGAACCTCAAATTATTATTATAATAAATTATTATAGTGTTGGCTGGATGAAAGAGGCCTGAGGTCTGTTGGTTATGTATTTAATATTATAACAGTTCCATTGCAGGAGAAGAAACAGACCTTGTATATTGTTTCCACCAATATTTTACTGTAAACTGCTCTCTATACAGACACCTGAAGCTGAAGACGATGCCGTACAGCGTGGGTTTCTGTAGCTCCCGTGGTGACCTCCTCGTCGGAATAGGACCACATCTATATCGAGTACCCTACCAAGTTTGTGAGTATATCCCTACGGCTTAATTTGTGAATACCCTGAAGCTTCCAGGTACCAAGCATACGAGTATTGTTCTAACTTTGTGACCAAGTCGCTAAACAGGGTTTTTAGTTCTGTGTCAAGTTGTTGAGTATTCTGCTGAAGTATAGAGAATATTTTGCTATTTAAATTGTACTTTAACCCTTTCACCCCTATGTAACTTTTGTAAACTCTTCCATGCATTGATCTGGATCATCCATTATGGTCTACAGTGGTGAAAGGGTTAAGTGGGCAGTAATCAATTTGCCCCCTATAGTGATACCAATCCTTCTAAAGACGTACCAAGTAAAAAATGTCTGCATTAAGGATCCCCGTACCACTGCCAAAAAATGAAACTATGCATTTGAAACTTATTTTTCCGGCATGACTATAGCTTTTTTTGAAAAGAAAAGGATACCTTGGGGGACTGTTATGAAAACACAATGGAAATGAAATAAACAAAAAAACAATTAATAAACGTGTTCTGGAAGTAAAATATTCTGCAGGCCAGACCAGGATTTGAACCCTGGACTTCAGGTTGTTATACCATCGCTAAAACCAATGGAGCTTAGACCTGGACAGTGGAAGTGTACGAGACAAAATGCGCTACAGTTATTATATCTAAATGGAAGTTAATTAAGGGGAGGCTACTGTATATAGGAAAAACGGCAGTGCGGGATAAGATTTTTAGAATTTTAACACTTGGCAAAACTTCGAGCTAAAAACCTCAAAAATCTTATACTCAGGTTGATATTTCTCGGTATAAATCAGGCACAAGTGTCTGTGATAACTTCTGTTGATCAAGATTCTGACTACTCCCATAGGACTTTATATGGGTCACTTCCAATTGTTTAAGGTGTAATTACACGTAAGTACCACTTTATAACTTCATCAGATTATTGTAAAAGGTGTTTTTTTGGGGGATTCTTATTTTCACTATTTTCGTGTTTACAATTTTTCTGTGAAAAAAATACAACCAACATATATATATAGTTAATAGCAAATTAAATATTACATCACCGCTAGACCTGAAATCTGTGCAAAAACACATTCTGAAATTTGACCTTTTATACAAACCCTCAAAAAATAAGGAACCTTAAAAAAAAAATGCAGTATGATAAGTTTACTCAGCGAGGAGACAGTGACTTGAGTGTACATTATATTGACATCATTCCTTTTGTTTTATTTGACGTCAGATCTGCCAAAAACCTACATGTTCAAGATGGTGTCTATGAAGTTTACAGACCCTAAACCAGAGCCAATTGTTGAGCTTAATGAAAAGCTCGTCAAAAAATTGTCAAAAAGAGAATTCACTCGGCTGAAAAAATCACATTCAGCTTTCAAGTGAGTATGATTCCTTTTTTCTGGTATTTAGATATATCCATATGCTTCCAAAAAATGTGAAATTTGTTTTCAGGAATTACTGCAAAAGGAAATGACACTTACAAGTATTGTAATTATTTAAAGATTTAAGAAACTCTGTAAAACTTCCAAAATTTGTTTTACTATGTATTGAAATTTTGTTTTCCTGGCTTGATTATTAAATTTTGATGAATCGTTTCTGAGAATAAAATAATAAAAGATGAAACAAACAGAATATAATCATCAACAGTGGTCTAGCTGAGTATAAAAATTGCAATGGGGCCCAGACAAGGATTCGAACCCGGACCTCCCGTCTAGCCTATTGAGCTACCTGGTCAGTGTTGATATCCTAGCTCAGTTGCAGTGGGAGATCCAGACGTTTTTTAGGGGGCTTGAAGAAACCCCCCGACCTGGGAATTTTCTTTAAAAATCACGTATTTTCACCATTTTCCTCAAATTTTCCCCACATGGAACACACACCCAGCTGCTTACGAGTATATTCCATAATGGGCAGCTTGCAGTGTGACGCGTCTTTCAAAATTATTATTTGTAGGCAACTGGAATTCTTATCTTTATGGATGTTCAGAATATGAATTTCACAGTTCAAGCTAAAAATTGCCATTTTTAGCTCACCTGGCACGAAGTGCCAAGTGAGCTTATGCCGTGGTGCGGCGTCCGTCGTCCGTCCGTCCTTCCGCGGTTGTCCGGCGTCCGGCGTCAATATTTTACTTTAAACGACTTCTTCTTAATAACCGAAAGGCCTAGGGTG